GGCAGAGCAGGTGAGTGGTGCGGCAGAGCAGGTGAGTGGTGCGGCAGAGCAGGTGAGTGGTGCAGCAGAGCAGGTGAGTGGTGCAGCAGAGCAGGTGAGTGGTGCAGCAGAGCAGGTGAGTGGTGCGGCAGAGTAGGTGAGTGGTGCGGCAGAGCAGGTGAGTGGTGCGGCAGAGCAGGTGAGTGGTGCGGCAGAGCAGGTGAGTGGTGCGGCAGAGCAGGTGAGTGGTGCAGCAGAGCAGGTGAGTGGTGCAGCAGAGCAGGTGAGTGGTGCGGCAGAGCAGGTGAGTGGTGCAGCAGAGCAGGTGAGTGGTGCGGCAGAGCAGGTGAGTGGTGCAGCAGAGCAGGTGAGTGGTGCAGCAGAGCAGGTGAGTGGTGCAGCAGAGCAGGTGAGTGGTGCAGCAGAGCAGGTGAGTGGTGCAGCAGAGCAGGTGAGTGGTGCAGCAGAGCAGGTGAGTGGTGCAGCAGAGCAGGTGAGTGGTGCGGCAGAGCAGGTGAGTGGTGCAGCAGAGCAGGTGAGTGGTGCAGCAGAGCAGGTGAGTGGTGCAGCAGAGCAGGTGAGTGGTGTAGCAGAGCAGGTGAGTGGTGCGGCAGAGCAGGTGAGTGGTGCGGCAGAGCAGGTGAGTGGTGCAGCAGAGCAGGTGAGTGGTGCAGCAGAGCAGGTGAGTGGTGCAGCAGAGCAGGTGAGTGGTGCAGCAGAGCAGGTGAGTGGTGCAGCAGAGCAGGTGAGTGGTGCAGCAGAGCAGGTGAGTGGTGCGGCAGAGCAGGTGAGTGGTGCAGCAGAGCAGGTGAGTGGTGCAGCAGAGCAGGTGAGTGTGCAGCAGAGCAGGTGAGTGGTGCGGCAGAGCAGGTGAGTGTGCAGCAGAGCAGGTGAGTGGTGCAGCAGAGCAGGTGAGTGGTGCGGCAGAGCAGGTGAGTGGTGCGGCAGAGCAGGTGAGTGGTGCGGCAGAGCAGGTGAGTGGTGCGGCAGAGCAGGTGAGTGGTGCGGACAGAGCAGGTGAGTGGTGCGGCAGAGCAGGTGAGTGGTGCAGGCAGAGCAGGTGAGTGGTGCAGCAGAGCAGGTGAGTGGTGCAGCAGAGCAGGTGAGTGGTGCGGCAGAGCAGGTGAGTGGTGCAGCAGAGCAGGTGAGTGGTGCAGCAGAGCAGGTGAGTGGTGCGGCAGAGCAGGTGAGTGGTGCGGCAGAGCGGGTGAGTGGTGCGGCCGAGCGGGTGAGTGGTGCGGCAGAGCGGGTGAGTGGTGCGGCAGAGCGGGTGAGTGGTGCGGCAGAGCGGGTGAGTGGTGCGGCAGAGCGGGTGAGTGGTGCGGCAGAGCGGGTGAGTGGTGCGGCAGAGCGGGTGAGTGGTGCGGCAGAGCGGGTGAGTGGTGCGGCAGAGCGGGTGAGTGGTGCGGCAGAGCGGGTGAGTGGTGCGGCAAGAGCGGGTGAGTGGTGCGGCAGAGCGGGTGAGTGGTGCGGCAGAGCGGGTGAGTGGTGCGGCAGAGCGGGTGAGTGGTGCGGCAGAGCGGGTGAGTGGTGCGGCAGAGCGGGTGAGTGGTGCGGCAGAGCGGGTGAGTGGTGCGGCAGAGCGGGTGAGTGGTGCGGCAGAGCGGGTGATTGGTGCGGCAGAGCGGGTGAGTGGTGCGGCAGAGCGGGGTGAGTGGTGCGGCAGAGCGGGTGAGTGGTGCGGCAGAGCGGGTGAGTGGTGCGGGCAGAGCGGGTGAGTGGTGCGGCAGAGCGGGTGAGTGGTGCGGCAGAGCGGGTGAGTGGTGCGGCAGAGCGGTGAGTGGTGCGGCAGAGCGGGTGAGTGGGTGCGGCAGAGCGGGTGAGTGGTGCGGCAGAGCGGGTGAGTGGTGCGGCAGAGCGGGTGAGTGGTGCGGCAGAGCGGGTGAGTGGTGCGGCAGAGCGGGTGAGTGGTGCGGCAGAGCGGGGGCAGAGCAGGTGAGTGGTGCGGCAGAGCAGGTGAGTGGTGCGGCAGAGCAGGTGAGTGGTGCGGCAGAGCAGGTGAGTGGTGCAGCAGAGCAGGTGAGTGGTGCAGCAGAGCAGGTGAGTGGTGCGGCAGAGCAGGTGAGTGGTGCGGCAGAGCAGGTGAGTGGTGCAGCAGAGCAGGTGAGTGGTGCAGCAGAGCAGGTGAGTGGTGCAGCAGAGCAGGTGAGTGGTGCGGCAGAGCAGGTGAGTGGTGCAGCAGAGCAGGTGAGTGGTGCAGCAGAGCAGGTGAGTGGTGCGGCAGAGCAGGTGAGTGGTGCGGCAGAGCAGGTGAGTGGTGCGGCAGAGCAGGTGAGTGGTGCAGCAGAGCAGGGCACGGGGTGTGTGGGTGCTGGACTCGCTGCTGATAGCCTGGTGCTGGTGGTGGGGCGTGACGCCAGTAGCCCTGCTGTAGAGCACATGGGTGAGGTGACAGGGCATGGGGCGTGCCAGTGTGGTGGTCGAGGTGTGCCAGTAAAGAAAAATCTCCTACACCAACGAAGCAACACAACGAAGGTGTAGACGACAAGCACGTCCGGAAAAAACCAGTCAAGATGGCTGAGGCTTACAACAAGAAGGGATGCGACGACGAGTATGATATGAAAGAAGAATGCCCCAGAGCAGTAAGAAAACACCTTTAGATAAGATTTGAATGGAAATGGAGCCTTGAGAGGTGGATAAAACAAAAGGACCAGGCGGGCATTGAACCCCGCTGATCATCTATGATTGGAGGTTTGTGCTCAGGTCCTGAAAGAAAATCGTTTTTATTGCATGTATAGTTGGTTGTGCAAATCAGCCATTGAGCGTTTCTCTCGTTTGATCAGTAGCCACGGCCATACAATCGCACATGGGTCGCGGAAAGCGCGAGGCGGAGGGCAATCGGAGCGGTAATGGAGGTCGGGGGAAATCGAAGCGGCACAAGTCGCGATACCTGAACGCTGTGAGCCTTTAAACTTATGTCGCGACGCATTAGTCAACATAAACCGCCGGCAGGCGTGTACCAATGTTTTTCTTGGCTGACAGACGAATAACGACGATAATCAGCGACAATTCTGCAGGCGCGTTCAGTCGCGTTTCGGTCGCGAGTCGCGGCAGCATCCGTTGCGCGTCGCCGCTGCTATGATCTTGGCGGCGTCGCCGCTGTGATCTCCGCGGCGGCGTGCGCTCACCAGCCCGATCCGCCCCACTTCCCGCCCTTCCTCTTCAACCCCTTCCCCCCCCTTTCCTTTCGTGCCCTCTCCTCCCGCTCGCGCACACACCTCCGTCTTCCCTCCCCCCTTCTCTTCTCCTCCTCCCATCGTGTGCTCCCACGGCGCCGCCTCTCCCCTCTGGTCCTCAGATCGCCTTGATCACTTAGGTTTACACAGAGCAGATTTTTCCGCTGTCGCCTCTCCCCTCTGGTCCTGATATCGCTTTGAGCACTTGGTCTTACACAGAGCGGATTTTCCCGCCGTCGCCTCTCTCCTCTGGTCCTCACCCGTCCGGCCCGTGTCGCCCGCTGTCCCCCTTCCCCTCCCCCCACCCCTGCTGTCCCCCTTCCCCTCCCCCCACCCCCGCCGTCTCTCTTCCCTCCCACATCCCGGCCCACGAATCTCCGTTGCCATGCAACCAAAACCCGAAACTCTTGGTTGTTGCTCGCTCTCTCCCATGCACCCAAAACCCGAAACCCTTTGTTGTTGCTCGCTCTCTCCCATGCACCCAAAACCCCAACCTCGATCTCCTCTTTCGAAGTGGCGGCGGGCAGCAGCAGGCAGGGAGCGAGAGTGCAGGTGAAGGATCGATTGTTTCTTCCTTTGCTCCTTCACCCTAAATCCTATGATCCAGAATGGGGAGAAGGCGGCGCCCAGAATGTATGGCAGCAAGGGGGCTGGCAGGGGGAGGGATTGGAGGTGGTTTGCAACCGTTTCTTACTTCTGCTCCCCCCCCTTCTGCTCCTCTCCTCCTCTCCCTTCTGTGCCCCCACCTGCTGTTCCTCCTCACCCTTCTCCCCTCCCTCATTTCTCCTCCTCCCCCTTCTCCTCCTCCCCATTCTTCTCCTCCCCCCTCTGCTCCTCCGTCTTCTGCTCCTCCCCCCTCTGCTCCTTCTGCTCCGCCCCTCCCCCTCGTGCCCCTCCCCCTTCTGCTCCTCCCTCTCGTGCGCCTCAGAGTGGAGGGGGAGCGGGCCCCATCGCGAATGGCAACAGGGGGTGGCTGGTGTGGAGTGTGACCAGCAGGGAGAGAGAGTGCGGGCTTGTTGTTGTTGGAGTCGAAACAAAGTAAATTGTTCCTTTGATCCTCCTCCTTCCCTCTTCGGCGCCTCCCTCTCGTGCGCCTCAGAGTGGAGGGGGAGCGGGCCCTATCGCGAATGGCAGCAGGGGGTGGCTGGTGTCGAGTGTGACCGGCAGGGAGAGAGAGTGCGGGCGGGAGATTGTGAACGTGCTCGATGAGGTGAGGCACGAGCACACAGTGAGGGAGAGGAGGGGTGGGGGGGGTGGTAAGAGGTGATCAGGAGATCAGCTTGTGAGGTGACATGCACAGGGGATCAGCTTGATGAGGTGAGGTGGCAAGGAGGTGAGTGGAGCGCACAGGCAAACGATAGAACCTGGAGGGTAGGTAGATAGATGACTGGGCAAGCACTGGGGAAAGTGGTTGTGGAGGGCCTATCTGACTGAGCTGTTTTTGCTTTTCTTCCTTCCATCTCCCCTGCTTGCCCCACACGCCGTTGTGCGGCGGCAAGCTGGTGCCCGTGAAGGCCCGGGCTGAGGGGGAGGCAAGCACTGGGGAAGGTGGCTGGGGAGGGCTTATCTGACTGAGCTGATGTTGCTTTCTCCTCTGTTCGCCCCACACACAGTGGTGTGACAAGCTGGAGGCAGCAAGGCGCAGAGGAACGGGTAGGGTGAGGCAAGCACTGGGGAAGGTGGCTGGGGAGGGCTTTTCTAACTGAGCTGATGTTGTTCCTACTCCTTCCATCTCCACTGCTTGCCCCACACACCGTTGAGCGACAATCTGGTGCCCATGAAGGTGCGGGCTGAGGGGGAGGCAAGCACTGGGGAAGGTGGCTGGGGAGGGCTTATCTGACTGAGATGATGTTGCTTTATCCCTGTTTGCCCCACACACAGTGGTGTGACAAGCTGGAGGCTGGCAAGGCGCAGGGGGAGGGGGAGGGGGAGGCACGGACTGGGGAAGGTGCATCTGCAGGGAAGGCGAAGGGGGGTTCGTCCATCGATGCGCTGCTGGCGAATGAAGTGGCAGCACTCAAGAAACAGGTGCGTGCGTGTGGAGAGGGGGTTGAGGAAACAGGTGTGTGTGTTTTGCAGCGGCTCACAGGTGCGTGGGATGGGTAGGTGGGTGCCTTTTCCCTCCTTTCCCCTTGTTGTTCCTTCACCCTCCCCTTATCTCCCTCCCACTCCCTCCCCTCGTATCCCTCCCTCTCCCTGTGTCCCCCAGGCTCGATTGCAATCGTGACCTCAGGCTACCAGGTGCCCCTGTTTTGAGACGTCTCAGGCTACCAGGTGCCCCTGTTTTGAGACGTCTCAGGCTACCAGGTGCCCCTGTTTTGAGACGTCTCAGGCTACCAGGTGCCCCTGTTTTGAGACGTCTCAGGCTACCAGGTGCCCCTGTTTTGAGACGTCTCAGGCTACCAGGTGCCCCTGTTTTGTTCCCCTTGTGCATCCTCGCCTCCTTGTTCCCTCCTTTCTCTTCTCCCTCCCTTCCTTGTGCATGGCCCTCAGCCTCGGTTCATGAGTGTGTAGTCTGGGTGCAAGGCGCTGCTGTTCGCATAAATGCCCAGCACAAACACCCATCACTTCCCTCTCTCGCAATCCTCTTTTCCCTCCCTCTTCCTCCCCTTGCCCCTCGTCTTGTCCCTCCCCTTGTCCTCAACGCTCTCACCTGGTGACTTTTGAGTCGACTCAAAAGTCACCTGACTGAACGCTCTCACCTGGTCTCACTTCGGGGTGTGGAGTCTCGCTGGCTGCAAGGCGCTGCTGTTTGGACTCTTGCTGGCTGCAAGGCGCCGCTGTTTGCGAGAATGCTAAGTGGAAACCCTTATCGCTCCTCCTCTCTCTCCCATCGTCTTTCTCCCTCCCCTTGCCCCTACCGTTTGCCCTCCCCTCGCCCCTCCTGTTCGCCCGCCCCTTGACATCCCTCAGCCTCGGTTTGTGAGTGTGGAGTCTGGGTGCAAGGCACTGCTGTTTGAGAAAAAACGTTTTTTTTTTTTTCCTTTGTCCCTCGTCTTGTCCCTCCCCTTCCCTCTCAGCCTCGGTTTGTGAGTGTGGAGTCTAGGTGCAAGGCGCCGCTGTTTCTGAGGATCCATCATCACCCCTCCCTCTCCCTCTCACTCCCCTTTCTCTGCTCGTCTTTCTCCCTCCCCTTGCCCCTGCTGTTCGCCCTCCCCTCGACATCCCACAGCCTTGGTTTGCGAGTGTGGACTCTGGGTGCAAGGCGCTGCTGTTCGTGAGAATGCTCAGTGCAATTTCCAATCACGTCTCCTCTCCCTCCGCTCGTCTTTCTCCCTCCACTCGTCTTTCTCCCTCCCCTTGCCCCTACCATTCGCCCGCCCCTTGACGTCCCTCAGCCTCGGTTCGTGAGTGTGGAGTCTGGGTGCAAGGCACTGCTGTTCGTGAGGATTAGAGAGGATGCCAGGAAGGGGGGGAAGGGAGAGAAGGGAGGAAAGCAGTTGGAGGAGGGAGAGGAGAAGGAGGAGGAGGGTGAGAAGGAGGAGGTGGGGAAGACGGAGGAAGGGGAAAAGGAGGAGGAGAAGGGTGAAGGAGACAAGGAGGGGAAGGAGGGGGATAAGGCCGGGGAAAAGGAGCAGGAGAAAGAGCAGGAGGAAGAGGTTACAGGAGGAGGAGAGAAGGAACCGGAGAAGGAGGGACAGGGAGGGGAGGGGGAGAAAGGGGAGGCAGGGGGAGAGCAGGGAAGGGTGTCGCCGTGTGAGTTGGCAGAGGCGGTGCTGCGGCATGCCAAGGCCACCCAGCAGTCAGCCACTCGGTGGGTGTGGGGTAGTGGGTGTGGGGCAGTGGGTGTGGGGCAGTGGGTGTGGGGCTTAGTTGGTACTTTACGTTTTTTTGGGTCACGTAAACGTAAACTTACGCTTGAGTTTACCTTTACGTTTTCTTACGCGTAATTTTACGTAAAGTCGCACGGGCAGGGCAAAAAAAGTTTTTTTGCCCGCGAAACGAAAAAATCTGACTGATATGAGGTGGGAGAGGCTGCTACATGTTTGTGTAGATTTGGGGCATCTGTAAGTTGATGTAATAATGTGCTAACATGCTTGGGCGTAGAAGAACCAAGCTAGTGATAGATTAGGTGCTTCCCATGCAGCCACTTAGTCCGATGATTTCTTATATTTCCGGGCAGTTAGAACTGTTTCTAGCTGACCGTAAACGTAAAGCCATTTTTAGCCCACGTAAGTAAACGTAAGTTTACTACGTAAAGTCACGTAAACGTAAACCACCGTAAACGTACAATACCAACTAAGGTGTGGGGCAGTGGGTGTGGGGCAGTGGGTGTGGGGCAGTGGGTGTGGGGCAGTGGGTGTGGGGCAGTGGGTGTGGGGCAGTGGGTGTGAGGCAGTGGGTGTGGGGCAGTGGGTGTGGGGCAGTGGGTGTGGGGCAGTGGGAGTGAGGCAGTGGGTGTGGGGCAGTGGGTGTGGGGCAGTGGGTGTGGGGCAGTGGGTGTGGGGCAGTGGGTGTGGGGCAGTGGGTGTGAGGAAAGCACGTCTCATCACTTCACCCCCCTGCCCTTGTCACTTCACCCCCCTGCCCTTGTCACTTCACCCCCCTGCCCTTGTCACTTCACCCCCCTGCCCTTGTCACTTCACCCCCCTGCCCTTGTCACTTCACCCCCCTGCCCTTGTCACTTCACCCCCCTGTGCTGGTCACTTATCCTGCCTACCTGTAGTGAACTTGTGCCAGTTTACTTCTTTCTCCCCCGCTTTGATTCAATTCTCACTCTCCCTTCAGTTTCTGTCACTCATTATCCCCTACGTTTGCACCTGCCCTGCCCACCCCTACATACACCACCCCTTACATACACTGCCCTGGCTCCCACTCTGGTCAACATCTTGACATACGTATTTCAGGAGGAGGGCCCCGGACCACCTGGATCATCTTGATCACATTCCTTGCAACGCTTCTGCTTTGCAGTGCCCAAGATACCCGAGTACTTCACTGTATGGCACTCCTTCTCACACTCTCCTTCTCACACCCTCCTTCTCTCACTCTCCTTCTCACACTCTCCTTCTGTGTGCAAATCAAAACAAGCAGCGCATATCGTCTCTCTCATCCCCCCTTGCTCTCCCTTCTGCTCTCCTCTCCCTTCCCCCCTTACTCCCCTCCCCCTCCTCAGGCGGCAAGGCGACAACATGAGCGTAATCGGAAAGGTGATGGCAGAAAGCTTGCTTGTGATTGGTTAATAAGCAGAAATGGGGTACAAGAGAGGGGGGGAAAACCCCCATAAAATCCTGAAAAAACCCCCCCACAGCCCCTCCAAGGCCCCCCTAAGGCCCCCCTACCCCCCAATTCTCCTCACAGCCCCTCACAGCCCCCCTCGAACCGCCCTGGAAATCCCTGGGCATGGCCCATGCATATCTGCTCCCTGTCATATCACATTCCTGCTTCTGCTTCTACTTGGTGCTCCCTATCTATCATATCCCTCCCGGGCATGGCATGGCATGGCATGGCATGGCATGGCATGGCATGGCATGGCCAACCAGGGAGGGGCGCACAGCACAGAGAGCCAGGAGCTCATCCACCACTCCCTCTTCTGTTCTGCTTCTGCTCCCCACTCCCCTCCCTTTTCCCTCACCCCTCCCCGCTTTCTCTGCGCGCCTGCGTATATAATAACAAGCACATACATTCACATTCGCTAGGTCATCAAATCTATAAGTCATCTATCACTCTACGCGTCATAGCAAATAGCCTCATGTTGTCGACAGGAGAAAATGGCACATGCGCTCCCTCCTTGTGCATCTGTTTCTCTCTCTTCTTCTCCCTCATGTCCTGCCCTGCGCATGGCTGAGCAAAAGCAGGTGGCAACGCATCTACTCCCTGTTTCCGTTTCTGCCACTCTTTCATATCCCAAACCTGGCCCAAACCAAACCTGCACTCCCCCCATCCCCCTGCACATATAATAACAGGCTCATACATTTATGTTCCTAACGTAATCAGATTCATCAATCCCTACCACTCTACACATTGCAAGCCAAGTGTCTTCGTCTTGGCGACAGGAGGGAAGCTGGCACCTGCGCAAGGGGAGGGGGGGAGTTGGGGTGGGGGAGAGGGGAAGCGGAGCAAGTGAGCGGGGGGAGCAGGGCAAGTGAGGGGATGGCAGGAGGTGTGAGGGCATGGTGGGATGGCAGGTGTGAGGGATATGGCAAGGTGTGCAGTGCATGCTCTGGGGCGACTCACAACGCACCTGATGCTGGTTTGGTGGGCCATGCGGCATGGCATGGCGCTGCGCTCCCCCCCCCTGCTTCTGTTTCTCTCCCTTGTTCTCTCTCATGTCCCGCGCATGGATGAACAGGGACGGCCACACAAGCAGCTGGCAACGCATCTGCTCCCTGTGCAAAGTATCTTCATCTTGGCGACAGGATAAACTGGCACCTGCGCAAGGGGAGGGGAGGAGTTGGGGTGGGGGAGCAGAGCAAGTGAGCGGGGGGAGCAGGGCAAGTGAGCGGGGGGAGCAGGGCAAGTGAGCGGGGGGAGCACCCTAAACCCCCTTACCCCCTTACCTGGCAGGAAATGAAAGTCACCATGCAGGGAATGCAAATCCACCTGCCAGGGCATGAACAGGCACCATGCAGGGCATGAGAAGGCACCGTGCAACATGCGAAGGCACCTTGCAGGGCATGAGAAGGCACCTGGCAGAAGGGGGAAAGTGGGGAAAGAGGGGAGGGGGTGGGTGAGACAAGCTCAAATGGGCAGGCGCTGCACTGGCAGCTGGCAGAAAGGGGAGGGGAGAGGGTGGTTTGGACGTCTCACAGTTCCCCATGCCCCCTTACACCCCCCCCTTGAGCAAAGAATGCACACAGGAACAACAAACAAGCAAGCAGAACAAACTAAAACAAACAAACAAACAAACAAACAAACAAACAAACAAACAGGAAATTTTGGGATGGAAAGAGGGGACGGGGTGAGTGAGACCTCTTCAATCAACATGCGCTGCACTGGCACCTGCTGGAAACGGGAGGACAGAGGGGAGGTGTTGAGTGTGACACCTCAAAACATTATGCCTTGCACTGGCACCTGCTGGAAAGGGGAGGAAAATGGCATCATGCAAGGAATGAGAAGGCATCATGCAGGGAACGGCAAGGCACCTTGAGGGAATGAGAAGGCACATGATTTTTATGTGCCCTAGTACATTGTTTTGCTTTTGTGTTCATACATTCATGCATCGTTCTGGTTCGCTCTTACCACGCGGGCGTGCGCATCAGCCTGCCCCACCCCGTGCTGCACTGTCACGCCCCACTGGCAGCTGCTGAAACACGGGGAGGGAGGGAGGGAGGGAGGAGAGGGGAGGGGAGGGGAGATGAGGCATTGGTCAAATGACTCAAAACAGAGGGGAGAGAGGAGGGGATTGGTCAAATGACTCAAAACAAAGAGGAGAGAGGAGGGAATTGGTTAAATGACTCAAAACAAATAGGAGAGAGGAGGGGATTGGTCAAATGACTCAAAACAAAGAGGAGAGAGGAGGGGATTGGTCAAATGACTCAAAACAGAGGGGAGAGAGGAGGGGATTGGTCAAATGGCTCAAAACAAAGAGGAGAGAGGAGGGGATTGGTCAAATGACTCAAAACAAAGGGGAGAGAGGAGGGGATTGGTGAAATGACTCAAAACAAAGAGGAGAGAGGAGGGGATTGGTCAAATGGCTCAAAACAGAGGGGAGAGAAGAGGGGATTGGTCAAATGACTCAAAACAGAGGGGAGAGAGGAGGGGATTGTTCAAATGATTCAAAACAGAGGGGAGAGAGGAGGGGATTGGTCAAATGACTCAAAACAAAGAGGAGAGAGGAGGGGATTGGTCAAATTACTCAAAACTGAGGGGAGAGAGGAGGGGATTGGTCAAATGAGTCAAAACAAAGAGGAGAGAGGAGGGGATAGGTGAAATGACTCAAAACAAAGAGAGAGGAGGGGATTGGTCAAATGACTCAAAACAAATAGGAGAGAGGAGGGGATTGGTCAAATGACTCAAAACAAAGAGGAGAGAGGAGGGGATTGGTCAAATGGCTCAAAACCGAGGGGAGAGAAGAGGGGATTGGTCAAATGACTCAAAACAGAGGGGAGAGAGGAGGGGATTAGTCAAATGATTCAAAACAGAGGGGAGAGAGTAGGGGATTGGTCAAATGACTCAAAACAAATATGAGAGAGGAGGGGATTGGTCAAATGACTCAAAACAAAGAGGAGAGAGGAGGGGATTGGTCAAATTACTCAAAACTGAGGGGAGAGAGGAGGGGATTGGTCAAATGAGTCAAAACAGGGGGGAGAGAGGAGGGGATTGGTCAAATGACTCAAAACAAAGAGGAGAGAAGAGGGGATTGGTCAAATTACTCAAAACAGAGGGGAAGAGAGGAGGGGATTGGTCAAATGACTCAAAACAAAGAGGAGAGAAGAGGGGATTGGTCAAATTACTCAAAAAAGAGGGGAGAGAGTAGGGGATTGGTCAAATGACTCAAAACAGGGGGAAGAGAGGAGGGGATTGGTCAAATGTCTCAAAACAAAGAGGAGAGAGGAGGGGATTGGTCAAATGACTCAAAACAGAGGGGAGAGAAGAGGGGATTGGTCAAATGACTCAAAACAAAGAGGAGAGAGGAAGGTATTGGTCAAATTACTCAAAACAAAGGGGAGAGAGGAGGGGATTGGTCAAATGGCTCAAAACAGAGGGGAGAGAAGAGGGGATTGGTCAAATGACTCAGAACAGAGGGGAGATAGGAGGGGATTGGTCAAATGATTCAAAACAGAGGGGAGAGAGGAGGGGATTGGTCAAATGACTCAAAACAAAGAGGAGAGAGGGTGGGATTGGTGAAAAGACTCAAAACTGAGGGGAGAGAGGAGGGGATTGGTCAAATGAGTCAAAACAAAGAGGAGAGAGGAGGGGATAGGTGAAATGACTCAAAACAGAGAGAGAGGAGGGGATTGGTCAAATGACTCAAAACAAATAGGAGAGAGGAGGGGATTGGTCAAATGACTCAAAACAAAGAGGAGAGAGGAGGGGATTGGTCAAATGACTCAAAACAGAGAGGAGAGAGGAGGGGATTGGTGAAATGACTCAAAACTGAGGGGAGAGAGGAGGGGATTGGTCAAATGACTCAAAAAAAAGAGGAGAGAGAGGAGGGGATTGGTGAAATGACTCGAAACAAAGAGGAGAGAGGAGGGAATTGGTTAAATGACTCAAAAGGAATAGGAGAGATGAGGGGATTGGTCAAATGAATCAAAACAGGGGGAAGAGAGGAGGGGATTGGTCAAATGACTCAAAACAAAGATGAGAGAGGAGGGGATTGGTCAAATGACTCAAAACAGAGGGGAGAGAGTAGGGGATTGGTCAAATGACTCAAAACAGGGGGAAGAGAGGAAGGGATTGGTCAAATGACTCAAAACCAAGAGGAGAGAGGAGGGGATTGGTCAAATG